TTTAAGAGATTCTTGAGGTCAATATAATGTTATGGGAAAAGGGACTTGTGGTGATTAGGTTGTTATATAATCAAAGAATGATTGGCTGTGAAATTGAGGACAAATTTATACATGCTTGAACTCACACTTTGTTGCCTCAGGGTCGTCAACTCAATTTATTGTCCTTTGAAAAAATGCACAAAATTAAGGTCTCTATCGTTTGAAAAATGAATTGTATGTATTTAAGGTGTTTAGATTATTTAGGAACTTTCATATGTCAATTCCGCTTATATATATCAACCGAATTTATTAAATTCTAACATTAATTGATATTTCATTCCAAGTTATGTAGAATTTACATAACTCCAATCATAGCAACAACAATTTTTTTCCAGCATAATTTTTTTTTAATTAGCTTATTGTATAATTTTTAGCTATGCACTTCTATATTTCTCAATTGTGACGATTTGATTATTTTGTAATGGACTTAATTATGGAACATAAAATTGTAACTGCTGTTTTGATCGTCTGCTATTTGGTTCATTTGCTAGCAACATTAAGCATGAAACTTCAATGTTGGAAAATTATTAATTTTCTGTGAACACATCGCCTCACTCATGGTCTCACAAATTGAAATGCGAATTCGGACTGCTTTACTTCGTGGTTCAAACCAAAAGAGAATCTTATCTTTTGTTGATACTTCAAATAATATTAATTGTTTAAAATATATTATACAATTTTTCAAATTTTATATATTAGTATACATGCCCAAATCTAATTGTAATAAATAAGAATTCCTCCTAAAGCAAGTTCTATTTTATTAGGTCATTTTCAATTTAAACATTCAGTTTATGCAGTAATTATTTAATGGTTTTTAAATAAAATTTGTCATATTCTTTCGATAATAAATTAGAGGAAATTACAATTTTTTGTCGGGTATTTTTTCCACCATAACTTTTTCGTCCCTTCGAATTGCTGATTTAAATTAGTCCCTTAGATTTGCTGATTTGAAGTTTCAGTATGATCCTCAAAGTTATGTCTGCGTGAGTAAATTTGGCCCCCATGCCATGGATTTCTCTAATTCAAAAGGGTGGTCAGTGATTTTATTTGTCTCAAAAAAAAAAAAAAAAAAAAAAAAAAAGCCTTTGAACAGTAAAGGAAACGATATCACATTCATGGGAAGCTTCAGAGCAAGTGAGGGAGTCTTGTTTGTTGTCATTGTACATTTTGGGGAAGCTTCAAAGTCAAAGCAATTAGGAGAGTATCCTTCAGGAAGTGGGGTTGGTGGGTACATGATATTAGTGTAGCGTCTCATGTATTCGACGGTAAAAGTGTGTACACATGAGATAGTCTTCCGTTATTGAGTGGGGAACATCCCATGTATTCGACGGATGAGTTCAGTTGAGACAAGTTTATTCATATTCATGCTAATATAATGGTATATGTCGTTATTTTGAATAATCATATAGTATAGATTACCATGGTGAACTAGTGTTTTTCTCACCCCTCATAAGTATATATTATTTTCAGGTTGAGCAGCTGGCGGCGTAAACGAGGGGACGAGGGTGGTCTATTTACTTATGCTTTTGAAATATTTATGAAATTTTAGAATTATGCATGAGATTATTTCGAGACTCGTTTTGAGAATTATGTTCGAACTATGTTTGAGTTTTTTATTTATTTATTTGAGTATGAGTTATGAAAAGTTGAGTTAGCAGTTGGAAAGCGAGTTCCCATTAGAGTACAAGAACAAGTTTTGAGTTAAGTTTTTATAAGAAATAAGTTTTCCGCAAAGTTAAGAAGAAGACGTTTTACCGTGAGTACCCTAGAGTTTTCAAAGTACTTTTGAAAAGAAAAGTATTACTTGAGAAATGTAGAAACTTTCGAAAGATAAGTAGAGGGTGCTTACATATAATATAACATCCAAAATAGCTCGGGTAGCTGACCACTTTATTGGTTCAGGACCCTATGTAGCTCGGAAGTCACGTAGTCCATGAAAGCTCAGTTACCAATGTGGCTCGCATGGCTCAAAGGTTAGGAGACAAAAGGAGCTTGGATGACAATGAGACCACGTGGCTAGAAGGTCGGTGGGATTGAGGTCGTAGGAATGACCTCAATCTGACTGGTTGCAGTAGCTGAGAAGGTTAGGACGATGACCTCGAAACCTAGGACCGTACAACAGGAGGGAAAGATTCCTTTATGAATAGAAAGTACATATTGCCAAGGACTCTTCAAGATTCGGGAGATTTCGTTAGTTTGGGAAGTGGATATGGAAAGATCTCTTTTTTATAGGAATCTCTTAACCACCAAGTAACCCTAGTATCAAAGGGTATCCAGGTTCAGGGGCGGATCCAGATATTTATTTTGAGGGGACATATATATTTTTTAATAATTATAGATTTGAATTAATATACATAAAAAATAGAAAGTTGTATTATAAAATTATATATAATAATAGTGCAATTTGAATATAAAGTTTCAAACATTGACAATAACAAATTTAGATTGAACGCTCTCTCAACACATGTATTTCATTTATAATTGACACAATACTAATAGTTTTGATATTTTTTCTTTCCATTAAGCATATCTTATATGGACTTCGTTTTCAAGAATTACAAATTTTTATGTTTTCATATATTTTCATACATTCAATTTATTTAAATTAGAAAAAATGTTATACATAAGTTTAAAAAGAGTATAATTGTAGTTAAATATTAGTAGAAAGAGTAATCCAATTATTATTTTAATTTAATTGTATGAGAATTAAATTTAACATATTTAATATTAATAAATATTAAATATTATTAATAAATATTCCACTCGTTATAAATATTTATTATTATTAATAATAATAAATATTATTAATAATATTTAAATATTATTGAAAGAAGAAGATGAATTTTGGGATGTGATGACTTGTGCTACAGGCTATGCATATTGATATTTTTTGAATCATATATATAAGGAACTGTGCATGACATCATTTTTAACAGGAGAAAGATGGATAAATGAATTATTGAGCGGCCATGAAAAACAATGTTTTAATTCATTAGAATGAACCAGAACACATTTTGTCAATTATGTTTGGATTTAGAGAATAGATACGGTTTAAGACCATCAAGTAGGATGTCAGTATTAGAGAAAGTGGGTTTATTTGTATATGTACTTAGTAAGGGTGCTTCTAATAGAGACACTCAAGAGCGCTTTCAACATTCTGGTGAAACCGTGACTAGAATTTTCAAACAAATTTTAGATTCTATGGATAGTTTTTCAAGAGATATACTTGTACCGAAAGATCCCGAGCTCAAGGATATTCCAACACATATTTCCAATGATGAGAGATATATGCCACATTTTAAGGTAACATTTTTGTTGCTTTCTCATTTTTTTTTTTTTTTTTTGTTTTTTTTTTTTTTTTTTTTATTGCTATTGAAGATGATGATAATATAATTTTATTATGTCATGATAGGATTGTATTGGAGCTACTGATGGTACACATATTGCGATAACCGTACCTGAAGAGGATCAAATTTATTATAGGGGAAGAAAAGGGATACCGACTACAAATGTTTTAGTAGTGTATGATTTTGGTTTGTTGTTCACATACGTTTTAACAGGATGGGAGGGATCAGCATATGATTCTCGTATTTTCCTTCATACGATCAATGATCCAAATCTCAATTTTCTGAAACATCCATCAGGTATCTTGTACTTATCATTTATATACACTGTTGCGCGCACACACACACACACACACACACACACATGCACGCGCGCGCGCCTTCGATATAATTTAATTCTAGTATAACTTGTGTACGTTTAGATAAATATTACTTGGTATACAAAGGCTACCAGAAAGAGAAAGTTATTTAACGCCTTACACAAAGGCAAGAAATCATCAGTTTGAATTTCGTAGTTCAAACCCGAGAAGATCTCAAGAAGTTTTTAATCGGGCTCAATCATCTTTAAGAAGTTGCATTGAAAGGGCTTTTGGTGTTCTTAAGGCTCGATGGAAGATACTGCATTAAATGCTAGGATATTCGTTAATAGATCAAAATAGAACCATTTGTTCATGTTTTGCTCTTCATAATTATATTATAAGAAGCACAATTGGTGATCCGAGCTTTAGAGTTATTGATGCGAATCCTGAATTCATACCTCCTGATGTGTTCCAAGATGTTGAAAACAATTCACAAGGTGATGGAGAAATGAGGACTCGGGAGATGGCAAACGTTCATAATGATATAACTTCAAGTTTGATGGCATTCAGACGTTGTTCTTAGATATTTTTTTTTTCTTTTCTTTTATTTTTATTTTTTAATTATAATAGAGAATATTGCGATTGAGTCTCATTTATATTTTCCATTAGTATGACTTATTGTTGGCTTTGTTTATATGATGTAAACTTATTTACTCGATTATGAAATATTTTTATTTTATTATTATTTATAATTTATTTAAATCACTTTAATAAATATTTAAAATATTAATTATTTCTATTTCCAAAAAAATATTAGTTTCAACATAAATTAGAATGATAAAGTATGTTGATGTCCTTATAAGTAATTTTACATGTTAACAGCTAATCAAAAAAGCTAATTTTACCAAACACTTTACAAACCGCTAACACAATCAGCGGGTCAAAACAACTAATACAATCAGCTAAGAGCTTACAGCTAACAGCTGATTACCAAACAAGGCATAATACAATTATTAAAT